GTGTCCCGGTGTTCCCGGTGTCCCGGCTCCTGTCCCGTCTGGAACACCCCCGGGCAGAGCAGGAGCACAGGGATAACTCTCCATTCCGGGCGGGGTCCGTCCCGGGATGAGTTCCTGGGGTTCAGGCTGTTCCCGGGGTTTGCCCCGGCCGGGGCTGGGCTGGGACTCAGCCCCTGTTTTGTGTGTCCGTGCCGGGGAGGTGCCGGTGGGGAGGGTTGGGACAGTGACCCCACTGTGAAGGGCCGGGTTGTTGCCGTATGACAACGTTCAGATGTGATTTATGAGCTAAACAGTAACAAAAATCAGTCTATGCTCTGCCTTGAGGTAGATATATATGCATATATAAACATATAAATATACATAAACTCATTTTTAATATATATATTCTGCACAGGGAAGAAAAAGGTTACATGAAATCACACTGAAGTTGTTACAGTAGCGTGGAAATGCTACATTTTAGAAAGGAAAGGTTTTGTACTGGCTAGAATTGTTATTTAATGTAGCAATTTAATTGGATAGTAAGTTGCAAATGTTTTGTATGCATGCAAAAATCTGTTAGTAGGAGAAAGGACTGTTAGTTCCGGGGGAGAGGAGAGGTGGGAGCTTGGACTTCTGAAGTTGTGAAGAGGAACATGAGGCTCTTTCTCCTCGGGACAGGGTAAAGGCAGCCCAAGGTCCCAGAAGGGTGGTTTGGGATGTTCCTGGGACAGGAGCTGCCTTCTGGTGCTGCACATGGAAATCAGGTTTTTGGTAGGGTTGGCAGTGTTTTTTCTCAATGGGCACTAAACTGAAATGCAGTTTCTTTGGTCTGTTTTAATTGGCAGCTTGGCAAAGCCTCAAACACTTCATTGCTCTCAGCCCCTCTCTGGGACTGTGGTTTCTTTCAAGAATTCACACAGAACAATATCTCCGAGTTGCAAGGAACTGTCATTACATGTGACCAAAAATTAGAGTATTTTCTTGAACTGTGCTTTGTTGGCAGTGCTGTACAGGTTCACTAAAGTTGAACACTGGCTTGTTCCAGGTCCCAGTGCAGCTTTTAGAAGAGACTCAGGTGATTTTGCTGGGGTGTGGGTTGGGACTATGTTGCATTGCAAGTGCTGGTTCAGCTGCCAGGAGCTCAGCTCACTGCCTGGAATTATGGCTGAAAATCATTCATTTCCCCACACTCGCCTATTTTTTCGCCCCATCTTTCTCTCCCATCTCTTTCATTTGCATGTGGAGGAGGTTTATCTACACAGGAGTTGGAATGACTAAATTATTTCAGGGTTTGAGCATTAACTGTTGGCATGTGCTGGTACTTGCAAAGCAGCTCTCAGGACGTTCTCCACATTTCTAACACAGCAAGGCTTTCTGTGCTGGCTGCTTCTCAGCTGTTGTGAGCATGCAAATAGTAGATGCTTTGTTTGGCTTCTTGGTTTTCACCCTCAGTTGTGCTCAGGACTGGGAGTGGTGAGGGGGGATGTCCTGGAGCCATCTCATCATACTGAGTTTAAACTCTTACTGACTGGTGTGACCAGTGAGTCACAGTCCTGAGGAGGCCCTGATTTCTTGTCTGGTTGGTGGTTGCTGCCGCAGAGAGAACAATGATCCTGCAATAAAACCTTTTACACAGCCTTTTTTTATGCTCTTTTCTCAAGTAAAACCCTTAGCAAGGCCCTGCTGCAAATGTGACACACTTCAGGAGGGAGCCAAGCATTTGTGAAAAGCTGATGTCTTCATAGCTTGATTGGCAGCAAACCAAAGCTAAAAATAAAGGTTCTCTCACAATCTTGCTCACCTGAAAATGAGTGTGCAGAGACACAGCAAATATTCAGTCTCTTTTTTCACCCACTGTGAAAAAAGTGCTGTGTGTCACAGAACTTTGTCTTCCAAGCAAATATCACAGAACCACTATGCTTTCAGTTAAAGAGAGATGTCTTTGTGTCTTCTGTGAAACTTAGATGGTGCCTTTTAAAATAATAGGTTGATTTTAAAGTAATCAGCACAAGTAGACATTGATGTACCCTTTACTGGTTGGTCAAGGTGGCTCTGTTGGTGTAGGGATTGTTCTGTCATTACGGTGAAGTAAGGAGGGGTTGTAAAATCTCTACTTGTAGGAGGTGTAAAAGTAATGGAGTCATTGCAATTGCTGACTAGGCCAAAGCTGAGAAATGGTTAATTTTTTATTCATGCTGATGCAGAAATGCTTTGGACAGTGCTTATGGGAGGGGGTCAAGACCACCAAGAGACTGGTAGAAAGGAGCTGCAGGTATGTGGTACATGCACAGAGATGCTGCTTGGACAGTTGCTGAAGGAGCCCTGGTAATCTTGTCATATCACTGTCACCAAAGGATTGGTTTTGTCATTTCTGATGTACAAATATGGAGAATATATTTTATAAATGGGAAAATACAGCATAAGTAACAGTTACTGAACATCTTGTTGTGGGGGTGTGTGTGAGTGAAGAAGAGTTGTTACGGATGCTTTGGATTTGATGCTGGACTGTGGGCTCTCTTTTTGCCTCTTGAATGTGAACATTTTTTCCTAAAATGGCTGTATTTCACATAGGAATGTCATTTGTAACAAACTTTCCTCGGATTCCTACTCTGTAGACATATCTTTTTTTTCTTTTTCAGTGACTGTGAGCAACCCTGTGGAGAAAGGTATGTGTGTTCAGTTTACTGTTTGACGCTCAATCCTGGTGTAAAAGGATTCACAAATGTTCCGGCTGAAATATCAAAAATATTTGCTGTCAATCTTTGAAATGTACATCCTCTTTCAGTGTTTCCTTCCTGTAATTACACTCCTGGGGTGCACAGCAAGCATTGTTAGACAGGCTGTAGCTTTTGGATGCATTGGGAAGTGCCCTGTTTACTCACAGCATAAGAAAACATGGGAAGGCTTTAATCCCTCTGACTCTGTCAGGAAAAGGTGTGCCTGTCTGTGCACACCCACACATCTCTTCTCCCTTTCTCTTTCACATTTTCAGAGCTCATTTTACAAGCCAAATAGAAAAGACTAGTTCTGTTCTGTGGCCCACCTATTTTTCCCCTGTTTCCTTTGATCTTTCAGAGAAAGCTATTTTTAGTGGAGTTTGTAGGCAGGCACAGATTTTTTCTTGTTTCTGTTCCCCACTAACCAGCTCTGGAGCCATAATGCAGTAGGATCACTCCATGAGACTCTTTCCACTGGTGTGTTGTTGGAGGCCACGATCATGTTCTAAGGATAAGGAGTCAGTGGCCATTTTAGTATTCCTCCTCTTCTTCCTGGAGGTGCTTTGGAGGCTTTTGGCTAATCCAGGTGGCCTCTTTGTTTCCAGGGTTATGAAGGATAGAAGTAGGTGGAGTTGTCGGGGAAGTTGTTCCATGAAGAGCAATGCCAGGTGATAGTTAAAGATCCTCCAGATTGCTGCATCGAGTCCATTCTCTTTCCACTACAAAGCAGTCCTAATATTTGAAATTGCTACAGAGAAACTCTGGAAAGCAGGATATTAATGATTATTCAACAGTAGAAAGTTAGTAGTTGCCCAATCCATTAGTGCATCTCTGGGTCAGCTTCCTCTGATGTGCTGCTTGATCAACTAAAACTAAACCTGTTTCAAGATTTATCTCTTTTCATACCAATTAAAAAGTGGCTGAGCTCCACCTGCACTGTAGTATGAGGATAACATCTCAAACAAGCTGGGAGCATAAGAATGACTTATCTTTGATTCACAGCTCCTTCACACAGTCCATCACATCCTTGTGAGGTGTATCCCATCATTTGCCATCTCATTAGAGTCTCGGTGATGCATTTGGCCTTTTTTACCAGTTTTCACACAGGAAAGACAGTGTTTTCACACAGTTAGGAAGTGTTTGGATTTTGGACTTCTCTTTCCGCTAGTAGTATTTATTTTAATCTTAGTTTCTAGAATTTGAAGCTTAAAAGAAATGAGGGAAATGAGGTTTTTATTGCAATTAAATAATATGTTCAAATAAAACTGTATTGTAACTGTTTGATAATGTCTTAGTGAGTTGAGTGTTAAATATCAGCTAGTTTGTGTAGCTTAAGAGCTGCTGCTCTTTGGCTCCCTGACCATGGAATGCCTGCTTATGCCCGAGGGCTCTGGAATAAAGTTGGCATGTTGAGATAAGACTACTCTGACACAGGCTGGTTTCACCTGTATCCAGTGGATTACAATTCTTCAGTACTTACAAGACCTGTTTTGCTCACTTTGAGAGAGGTTTTCCTGATTTATTGTATCAGCTGTGGCAAATGTGAAAGAGATTGGATGTTTTCTAGTGATGTCAAGCTCCTGTTCCTCTCTCAGCTCTGCCAGGAAGGCAGCAGGGGTGGGCAGTGCACTGGCAATATGGGTCTGTGCTCTGACTGCATTTAGCAGCAACTGAGCCCCAAAACTGGGAGGTGCTGCAGGATTGCAGTATTAACCTGTGTGCTGCTCAGCACCAGCCAGTTCTGCCTGTCTGTGCCTGGGATGTGGGGAAGAGAGGAATCCTGGCATTCCCAGGGATATGGGGTGGGTACCTGCCCTGGTAGGGAAGTCTCTCAGAACTGTATCTTCTTCCCCCATGGAATGGGGTCTGGGGGAGGGGGGAGGCTTGTGAGCTCAGTCCCCCCTGGGTGCAGCCCCTGAGCTCTGGAATGCTGCTGGGAGGTTTGGCTGGACTGTAAGAATGGGGAATTATGCCCCTCCTAAATGAAACTTCTGCTTAAGAAGTCATTGCTCTCTTTCTGTTTTTTCTTTTTGTTTTGTTTTTAGTGGCCTATCTTGTAATATTCCATATTCTCTTTGTGCTCTTTGTGTGGACATATTGGAAGTCTGTTTTCACTCTCCCAGTGCAGCCAGACAAAAAGGTAAGAGCCCCAGCACCTTCCATTCCTTGCAGAGCAAAAGCAGGGACACTAAAGAGAACTCAAAAATCCTTTGGTCAAGTTGATCTGGACAGGACAGTTGGATGCAGACATGTGTTTTAATGCTTTTTCCACCAAGTATTTACTTTGTCATGTTGCTTGGATTGGTAGATTATTCTTGTTTTGTTTTTTTTTTTACCTCTCTGTGAAATACTAAGACAACACTGTTTGGAGCAACAGAGTGAAGACAATGTTTGTGTGGCACTCCAAATATACATGGCCTTAATCTGATCCTGATTACAAGAATGTAAATGTATAAATAACAACTAATCCCAGTTTTAGAAATATAAAACTGTGATTGGGGGCAGGTTTTTGCTCACGAGGGAAGTGCTTAAAGTGTTATCAAGGTGAGTAATGAAAAATAGTCATCTAAGGCAGCCGTAGGAGCAATTAAAGTAAGTTGTTTTGTAGTCTTTAAATTTCACATTTGCATTTTTTATTGGTGTATCACGTGGGGTTCTGGCTGCCCAGCACTCACTTTGTCTTCTTTGTCTTCTTCACAAACACATTTTCACACTTGATTAACCTCGTGAGCGGGAGTGGGAGGTAAAAATGTTTCTAGACTTGCCTGTATTTGAAGCATTCTCTCTGCTCCCCCTGGGTAACTGCTCCTCTCATGGCTTCTGCCCCCAGTTCCACATGTCCTACGCTGACCAGGAGCGCTATGAGAACGAGGAGAGGCCGGAGGTGCAGAGGCAGATCCTCGCCGAGATCGCCAGGAAGCTGCCGGTGTACACGAGGACAGGGAATGGAGGTGAGCCCAGCAGGGAGCTCGGCAGCTCTGAGCTCAACAGGCACAGTCAAGTAGCACACACTGGCACTCCAGAGGGTCCTGCCAACCAACAGCATTCCTAGTGCCACTGCAGCACCCATTAATTCCTGTGGGAATGATTTTCATGCCTTTTTTCTCAAATTTTCTCTTTGGAAAAGCAAAAAAGCTTTGAACATTCCTTCATTCCGTGGAGGACCAGGTGCTGCCTTTGAGAAGCAATATGCTACCCTTTGGATCTATGTTCAAAAGCCCGTGTTGCCTGTGTTTAGTATGAGCAGTAGAATCACAAGATCTGTCATCATATTTACTTAAAATGGAGTCTGGCTTAGAGATGCAGGACATAATTCTGTGACCAGATTTCTTGGCCATGCTCAGTGATTAAATGCCTCTGGACTCCTTTCGCAGCTTAAAGAAGTCTGTGTTCATATTGGAGGCTCTGACCTGCTCGTTTCTGCCAGGCAAGCCAAAGAATTCTGAAGTAAAGAACTGGAATAAATAGGGAATTGCCAAAAAGGGATGTATGTACAGTCTGAGTAAATGTGGAAGCCAGAAGGAAGTGTGCAGTTTTGGTTTATCACTTTTAAGCTGGCTGTATTGTTTAGAGTAGGTTTAGATTAGAAGCTGGGGAGAAATTCTTCCCTGGGAGGGTGGGGAGGCCCTGGCACAGGTTGTCCAGAGAAGCTGTGACTGCTCCAGCCCTGGAAGTGTCCAAGGCCAGGTTGGACAGGGCTTGGAGCAACCTGGGCTGGTGGAAGGTGTCCCTGCCCATGTAAGGGGAGTGGAATCAGATGATCTCTAAGGTCCCTTCCAAGTCAAACCATTCTGTGATTTCAGTGAGGATTGCTCCCCCCATCTGCAGATCTCCAGCAGAATCAGGAGCATTGCTAATCCTGGCAGCAAAAACCAGCAGCAAATGATAGAGGAAGTGATAAAGGAAGGAGTATGAAGAGTTAGGAAATGAACACCAATATCAGCTATCATGTGAAAAAAAAAAAAAAAGAAGTCTCTTCCATCATTTGGTGTTAATTTGTCTTTAATCTCAGGTATTCGGTTCTGTGACAGATGCCAGCTGATCAAACCTGATCGTTGTCACCACTGCTCTGTCTGTGCCATGTAAGTCAGGGACTGTGTCTCTGAGGTGAACACAGTACCCATGGGGTCCTGTGGGTGGGCTGGGCCTTCCCATGGCTCTTAACACAGAAAGGGACCCAGGGGCCTCTGTTCCAACTGCAGCCTCCAGTGCTCTGGTGAGAAACCCTCGGCATTGCTCTTCTCTAGACGAGAACAAAGGACATTAGTTGGCCTTGAAGAAGTAATGAGAGTTTCATCTTAAAACAATACTACCTTAAAAAACTTAGACAGTATCATTTTGACTTTCTGTCACGTAAAAATCACAAAAACCAGAGGTTTTGCTGTTGATCTGCAGTTGGCAATTAAGTACCAATTAAAAATCTTCCATTTTTCTTTTTTGTCCTTTTGCAGGTGTGTGCTAAAAATGGATCATCACTGTCCATGGTATGTCCTAGATACTGGTTTGTGGCTTTCCAAGAAAGGTTGCTTATATATATATATATTTCTGGCACATATTTCTGTATACCTCTCTCATTTCAGGCCATCCATCTCTTTATGTTGGGAAATTTATAAGATAATTACGCTTCAAAATTGCCTGAAATGTTTGATATTCTGAAAGACAGATTATTCGTGCTTGTTCCATAAACTATATGTGAAAAAGCTGTGATATTGATATCATTTAAAACCCAACTGCTAATTTACACTGACTATTATTCAAATTTGAAAGGAACTTAACCTTAGCCTTTATTCTGGGGTCTGTCATCATTTCATCTGCACTTGGGGGTGCTTTCAAATAGTAACATTTGCATGTGGATCATTTCTGAACTGATGCCTTTTCAGAGACCATCAGTGCAGAAAGCTGCATGGATTAATTGAGCTTTACCCTTTTGGAGAATTGCTGCCACTCAATTTATTAAACTCCTCCTTTTTTTTTTAAAAAGGAAGATTTCAGAAATCAGAAACAACACAAACATTTCCCCACCTGAACCTCCCTGGCAATCCAAATTGTAGAGGATTTTCCAAACCTGAGACAAACCCCCACTATGTTTTCCTGCATCCTCTGGTTCCTTTGTGGAGTTGTCCTGTGCATGGAGAATTAGAACCAAATTTGGGCTTAGCTGGGTTGGATGTCACCAACATGAATGTGGCTGCTGAGGTTTGCCCTTGGGTAGAGGAGCCCAGAACTCCCAGAGCCCATTGCCTTTGCAGACAAGACCCAGCCAGGAGGAATCAGCTGCTGCCTCTGGGACACATTTGCCCGCGGTACCAAGCCCGAAACATGAGCTGTGCTTGTCCTTGGCCCAGCAAGAAGCCTTGGAGTGAAAAGCAGAGACTTGAGTTCTGTTCCATTTTGGCCACTAAGGGGAGCTGCTTCTTGCCAAATTCTGTCGTGTGAGCCAGAGGTTTAATAACCCCCCAAACTGGTCGTGCTCTTTGTGTGACAACCATGTGCTGCACAAATCCTGATTTCAACTTTGCTTTTGTCCTCTAGGGTGAATAACTGCATTGGATTTTCTAACTACAAATTCTTTCTACTGTTCTTAGCCTATTCTTTGTTGTATTGCTTGTATATTGCTGCAACAGTCTTCAAGTATTTCATTAAGTATTGGACAGTAAGTTGTGAAATCTGGTTCCTTTTTCATCTCCTGTGAGTCTCGTGGGGTTTGGTCACTCTCGTTGCTGTTTTGCTCTCAGTCAAGTGGAGGGGCTGCATTTTTCCTGTGAGGTACTTTCCTGGGCCCTTTTTCAGTCCAAAACTCCCATTATATGTCCAAAACGCACAAAAGCAAGAACCAAATAGACCTCAGGAATTCCAAACTGTAGACTAGCTTCTGGGAAAGAGGTTATATCCTTTTCCTTTTTGTTTGCATGTGTGTCTCTCAGAACGTTTGGAATTGATGTTGACTTTGATCTGTACATATTTACTAAAAAGAGGAAAAAAAGTCAAGCCCCCTCGTTCATTTTCTAATCCCCATAGGATTCCTTTCTCAGTTTAAAACTGGACTGAAATAGCCTTTTTATTCAGTTGTTGCTGGTCACTCCTATGCAGCAGTGCCAGCTGACAGCTCAGTAAGAGGCTGGCCCTTGGCCTCTAGTTTGTGTCCCCTCAGCTGCTGACTCTGTGTTCAAGTCCCTTAACTTTGCTGGGCATTAATTGTTCCTCACGCTCAGCAGGGCCCAGCCGTGAGCTCTGTGCTGCTCCCATGGGATGAGCAAAGGCTGGGAAGTGCCTTTGTTCCCTGCAGGTGCCCAGAGCCTGCCTGTGTGTGCTGCTGGGCACCTCTGGCACTTGGCTTCTCTGCTCTAGAAGGAAATGGGTGTCTCCACCTCTTGTAAGGTCCCACTTGGTTTTTAAGCTTTCCCAAGTCCTCTCTGCTCAGTTCTAACCCCCCCCCCCCCCAAAGCTGGAGCTGTGCAGGCCAGCTTCTCTTGCCTCACCTTGCAAGAGGTGCAGAATTTTAGTGTATGCACAGGAAACTCAGCAGAACATAAAGAGGGCTTCAAGAGCTCCTGCCTGCTCGTTTCCCTGTGGGCACAGGGTGTGCTCCTGGTGCCCAGGTGGGAAGGGTGATTGCCCTGCCTCTGCTGCACACCAGGAGTTGTGCTTTGGGTACAGGAGGGGAAATGAACCACCTCATTTCTTTGTCTCTCCTTGGTTTTTATACTAAGGTTGATTTTTGTCTGTACGAGTTTGAGAACTCCCAATAGGAGTTTGAGAAGCTCTCTTTCTTCTCTCTAAGAATGAAGAATTTCCAGCTTTAATTTTTTCCTATCACTTGTTCTGTGTTGCTTTTCTTTCCAGGGTGAACTGACCAATGGACGTTCCAAATTTCACATCCTTTTCCTTCTCTTCGTGGCAATCATGTTCTTTGTGAGCCTCATGTTTCTGTTTGGATACCACTGCTGGCTCGTTAGCAGAAACAGATCCACCTTAGGTAAAGCTCTTGTGTCCCTCTTCTTTTTCTAAGACACACCAGGGTGCTGTGAGAACCAAAAAAGAAAATAAAAAAGGCATTTATTCTATTTCTGTGCATTCCTGCTGGCTTATGAGGGAAGGAAGATTTAAGATCTTGGCACAATGCTGCAAAAATTTGTCATTTGAAATTAGTTGTGTTTGTTAGCTGGTGTGACAAAAGCACAAAGGGAAACAAGAGTCTTACAGTGTAAAAGTCCAATTATAAAAATATTATGCGTATGTATAACCATGTTTGAAATGAGTGCAGCTTTTCAGGAGTAATGGTTTGTTTTGTTCAGATGCTGGTGTGCATCCTAAACCAGCTTAGTGAAGTTGGGAAACAGTGTCCATTCTCATTGATAAAGGCAAAGAAGTTATGACTGTAAAACCAAAGAAATTATCTAGAACAGAATGATTTTGCCGAGTAGTTTCTTTGTCTTTCCTCAGATAAATGTTGCTCAATTTTTAAAGCTTTTTGGATAAAGTTTTATAACAAAAAAGACACTATCAAGAGTGAGCAAATATTCTGGTTTTGTCTAGTTATTAACTTTAGAACTCATTTCTTGGGGCACAGAAGCTCATCTGGCCCAAAGCATCAGACCTGTGCAGCAGCTTCAAAGGTAGATCAAATTGTTTCTAAGGCACTCCAGGTTCTCCTCCCCTCTCTTTTTTTAGTTTTGTGCCTCACCATAACAGAGGGTCTATTTGCATTTGTTTGTTCATTATATCATTAATGAATGAGGCAATTTAAATCTCCAGTGCCACTTCTGGAATACTCATTGAAGGCCAACCTGTTTAATTCTGCAGACTTTTTTACTTTCGAAATTTTCACCCACTGAATTTCTACAAGTCTCGCAGAAAGAACTTTTAACTCTTGTTCTCTAGATTAAACAAACCATTTTTGGTTTGATTTGACTGTCCTGTAGTTGTATGACCAAATTCCTGCCTTTGACTGGAAAGTCTTTACAGGCTTTGCAAAATGAGAATAAGCTTTCACTCATTCTCAAACTTTGTAGTGCTTAATCTATATAATCTATTAAATCATGCTGACTTTAGATGGCCACATCATGCACAATCCTGTTTCAGAGACTTTGGCATTGATTTTCATTTTTTTTTCACTGAAATTGCATCTGTGTGCAGAGGCTTTCTCAGCTCCAGTGTTTCAAAATGGCCCAGATAAAAATGGATTCAATCTTGGCTTTGTAAAGAATCTTCAGCAAGTGTTTGGAGAAGAAAAAAAGCTCTGGTTGCTGCCTATTGCCTCAAGGTAAGTAATAATCAAGTGAGTGCTAAAAGCTGATACGATTTTTGCCATTTTGTGTATAGGTTTAGGTCACAGGAAGGTGGGGGTTTTATGTGTCTTTCAGTAACATCTGACTGACTAAGATTGAGGCCATTTTATCTTGGGTGTCATTGAAACACAAATGTGTGATTTCTGCCCTGAAGAATCTGTGCTATCAATTGATAAAATTTACACCTATGGAATAATTGCTCTGTTTTCATAATTGTTTTCCTTAGTTCCCCCTCACTTCTACCTGTCCACAAGTTAATTTTTTCTGTTTGTTTTGGTTTTTTTTCTGTATCCAATTGATTTGATCAAGTTAGCACATTGAAGTTCTGCTAAAAATTACTTAATTCCAGGCTTTAGATTTGAACTTCTGTTCCCCAGTGAGCTTGAAGGACTTGAGGACCAAAACTGCTCTCTAGTAAAACTTGGCATCTGAGCTGCCATGAAAAATAAACACGGTGCTTTTCAAAGCTGAAATATAATTTTAAGTAAACATGGGAAATAGAAGCAGCAGAAAACTTTGTTTGGAGTTGAAATGTGTTGAAATTGTCATCCTTTGAAGCTGTTTTTCCAGTGTCTCTCTGCCTTTTCCATGCAGCCAGGGGGATGGACATTTTTTCCCCATGAGAGCCTCGTGTGAAGCTCGTAACCCTCTCCTGGCAAATGAAGAGCAGTGGGAAGAGGATGGAATAGATGAAGAGCCCCAGGGTAAGGTAACACTGTAGGAAATCAGTTGTGTCCTGACCTACAGTGCCTAATAGATAAATTCAAAGTGATCAAATAAAAGTGGTGTTGGCTGAGTCCCTGGGCAGCTCTGCCTTGACTAATGAGCACAGACTGAAAATAAGCCCTACTTTGGAGTCAACTTTTTTGTTTTCTAGTAGCTTTCTACTTGCAAGTGAATGGACTGAGAGGGTGGTACAAGTTGCAGAGAGAAACTGAGGTTGCCACAAACTGAGTGTTTTTACCTGTAAATGTTGTTACATGCAGTGCAATTATCTAGGACACAAAAAAGGAGAATACTAAGATTTTTTAGAAGTGCAGTTATCTTCTGAGAGTGTGTGAAAGCAGGCATGCAAACACCTGAGTGCAGGGATACATTTAAGAAGCTCCTTTATACTTTGTCCAGCTTTATTACAGGAGTAAAGCAGTTCATTTGATGCTGGATTTGATGTGCTGATCTCCATAGAAAAATAGATGTGCTGGGAGCAGGTCTAGGTGAGCTGCTGTGTTTGTGCAGTCGATTTGATGGGTTTCTGGCATTCAAAGATACCTTTTATGCTATGGAAATCCTATTATAAACCAGAATTTATATGTATATACATTCTTTGATGGTTTTTGTTAGATGGATCCAAAATCTGTTTAATGATTTTACATTTCTGTGTTTGAAGTTGATTTTTTCCCCCTTGGATGTTTACCTGCAAGCTTTGGTCTTTGGAGAGTACAGGATGTATTGGAAGCTCAGGATTTGTCATTAGTTTCTGCTAACGAGCCCCAGTCCCCTTGTTTGAGGGTTCAGAAATCCTGTCTGCAAGAGCTCCTGGTTTTTCCTGTGGAGCAAGGATGCCATTCACAGGTTCCTTTTAAAATAAAGGTGGTAATCCCACCCTTTTTTTCCCTTTAAGGAATGGTGATAGTGTGAATTAATTCTGAGGTTATTTATAATCCATGGATCAAACATCAGAGACGTGATTTCCATAGTTGTGCTCTTTGTTGCCTCAGAAGAGTTTTCAGGAACTTTGCTGATAAAGTTCTCTTTCAGGGTGTACATTTTAGTCCCACATGTGCAGGATTTCTGTTTGAGACCCTGTGAGGAAGATTTAGCCTTGGGCAAAGGGTAAAAAAGCTTTTCATGTGAACATTTTCCTACCCGTGCTGTGCCATGAGCTCTTTAATCCTCCAGCACAGGCCCTGCTGCTCAGGCTCTGCTCAGATCTCACCTGCAGCTCTTTGTTCAGGTTTTCCATTGCAAAATAAACTGACTTCATGTCCTGCTGGGAAAATCCACTCTCCAGGAGTTTGTCAATAGGACTGAAGAGGCTCATTTCAGCTTTTCTTCAGATGAACTGCTTTAATTGGTTCCTGTCTGTGTGTTAGAAAGCTACCTGCTCTTCCTGGTTTGCTCTATAAATTTTGGCAGTTACAAGGTAACACAAATTGGTTTTAAAAATACCAGAATTGGCTTTAATAGTAACAAACTATGGCATCTCTGTGAATTTTTTGTGAGGCTTAGAACAAGTCCTTTAGGAATGAGTCAGAACTTCTTCGAACTTTTACAAAGTATAACTTATCTGAATAAATAATTAATTCTTACATATGAAAACATTTGACAGTGAGATGATTTTTGGCTAGATCAGACCCCAGAATATGATCTGGAGCTTATATGAAGTTCCTCAGTTTATAGTGCTTATAAAATAACTGACATTTACAGGCAGTTGAAGTAGATGATCGTTATGGGTCCCTTCCAGCTGAAATATTCATGGTCTCTCTTAAACAATAGAAGTAAACCATTATAATTGAGTAGTCAGAAAGACCTGAAATGTTACATTAAAACTGACAGATCTTCATTTGTCTTTGTGGCTTTAAAGCTTGTGACATGGTTATGAAATAAATAAAGCCAATAATAGAGCAATCTCAGTTTGAAAGCAGCTGTTCAGTTATCTCTGACAAGTGGTTGTCTATTTTCATTTGGAATGACTCTTAAAAACACACTTCCATACTTAGTGACAAATATATTCTCAGCGAGAAAACCAGGTTTACTTACCTCTGACTGCTTTGTTTTTCACTGTACAGGTTCTGGTGAAGCCTCAGCCCTTGTCATAGAAAGGGAGACATAGCAGTGTGACAGTGCAGCCGGGTAAAGCTTGAGCACAAAGGTCAGTGTTCCTTCCTTTCCCTCAAATCCACACTCTGCAGGGAAATGGGGAGGGGCTGTTGGACAGGGTTTGGCTTTAGCAGTGCCATCCCCATGGTGCTTGGACAGTCCCTGAACACTGGGGATGGAGCTGTGATTTCACCAGTATTCCCCAGCTTGCCCAGAAATCCCTGGTTCAAGGGAACCTGAAGGGCAGGGGTGGCTCTCAGCAGCCCTGGCTGGGGGTCGGCCCAGGTAACACCAGAGCCACCAGCACAGTGTGTAGAGGAGGACACAAAGCCTGTAGCTGCTCTGGAAAATGTGGCAGGAACGACTCTTGCACTGACTTGTACAATTCCAAGGTGGGAAGTCTGTGCAGGGATTCATGGAAGGAGTAGGAAGGTGCAGGTGCAGCCTAATGAAAGTTGAGAGCAGCCAAGTTGCAGCTGGGAGAAAACCTGGAAGTGACCTAAGAAGTGACCTGGAATGTCACATCAGCTGCTACTCCCTGAGCTATTTTTTTCCACTCTGGAGAAAGGTGGGTACAACAACAGATGGCACTGTGGGGAAGATGCTGCTCCCCAAACACTCCCTGGTCTGTAAAGCTGTTCTGCCTTTGAGAATGGGGCACACACACAGGGAGCTGCAGGCTCTGTCCTCTGCAGGCTCCAGGAGATATTCTCCCAGAGGAGCGTAACAGGCTGAGATCCAAGGAGTAGGAATCTGCTGTCCCACTTGCAGAAGGTGGGACAGGCAGATGGAATTTACCCCTCTGTTTTCCAGGGGTGTTAATAACTATTGTATGGCAAAGCACTGCCTGGCTGTGCTCACAGACAGGGCACCTCCAGACTTTTGCCCATGGGCTTCTGGCATTTTGTGGATACCAGTCCATTTTCTTCCACTAACAAAAACCCAAAAGTGTTTTTTCTGTCAATAGTGAGGACTGAATTCTACCCTTCTACTGGGGAGGGAAAACCAGCATTTTCCTTGTTGTTCTTCACGGCTTTAAAACACTCAGTTTTAAAGTTCAGATCAGCCATTGATGCTCATCACAGCAGTGTTATAGGTGCATGTTTTTGTTTCCTTAGATTTCAGCTTCCCTCTCAGGAGCCTACACCTTCTCTTGGCTTGGACTTCAGTTTTGAGGGGCAGAAAACAAGTGGATCTTCAAGATGAGAAAACGTCCTGAAGTGTCACCCAACTGGAGTCTGCATCTGAGAGTGCTTCTCCAGAAATCCTGCTGTCCAGATGGCCCAAGACTTTATAAGTTTCAGTTACAGAGTTAACAGAACAGTTTTATAGAGTGATTGTGGCCAATCTTCTTTGGCCTGCTCTCTTTATTTTATAAATACTATATATTTTTTATGCAAAAAAGGTAAAAATGTTGATGAGAGTGCACTTCCAAAGGCCTTTTCATTTTTCAAACGTCAGGGACTCGAGTTCTTGAAATTCTACCAAGCCATAATATTCTTGGGGATGGTTATTTATTTTGAGGCTGATTCTCCAACCTTCTCTGACATTTTCTACTGTGTTTGAAGTTCTGAGTCAGTTCAGCCCAGTGCGAGACAGACCCAGTTAAATCTGGCACTAAATTGGTAGTTGGGTGTAAATATATTGAAAGAAAAAGTGCTGAACATGCACACTGACATGTGCAGCTGTGAATGCAAATAAAATATTCCCATTGCCAGTATCAAGATTCAAGAATATTGTGGCCATAGATTTTTTTAACTTTTTTTAGGAGGGTGTTATTGTCTTAGAGTTTGGTTACAGTGCTCTTTGCCCAGTCCTACTTTCAGGCACCTGAAATGCAAACAGGAACTTCAGACAGTCCAGTTTGCATTAATTCCTAGGGCCAAAATGTCCACTCATTCCTGGATCGGTGTTTGATGGAAATTTGTGTGTTTGTGGAATCAGAAAGGAAGGTGTGAATTCGAAACACAGGAGTTGGAAATGACAGTGAAAGTTTAGCTCCAACAGTGGTGTTTGGAGTTTACACTCCACACGAAATGCTGAAGAGATAATTGATATATAGAGTTTTTCAGACTTCTTCCCAAACCAGTGCACTGACTGGTGGTTCCAGGGGTTTCAGCACTAGGTGATCAGATTTTTTTTACATTTTGCTCCATTTGCAGGCAAAGGGATGTATCCTGGTTCTGTTCTGGGGAAGGGAACTGACCCTTTGGCCGGATTATACACATTTTTCTAGACTTGACTGGTTTTATTTGCATGATTCAGCCCTGGCAGCTCCATCACTCATGTCTGAATTAGGTGCATGCTTACAGTATTAGTGTACTGCCTTTAAGATCCTTTGGTACCATTTTCTCTCCCGGTTTTGTGTTTGTTTATCAGCCCATTGGCATTGAGGTGACTGCAGAGGCAGTTGTGCCTGTCAGGAGAAATGACCTGAGAAGTGAGTTTGGTGACAAAGGCTTTGCCTACCTACTAAATCCTTTTTTTTCCTCTGTTTGCTCTGCTGCTGCTGCCAGTGGGAAGGTGTCTGTGAGATGGGAGAGCCTTGCAGAGACTTTCTGCCCTCAGGAGCGGTCGTTTCCCTGCTGTGATCCCACCCTGGGGACAGGGATCCTCAGCTCTGCAGTTCTGTGCAGAGCAGGCAGGGATCTCTGGAGTGTCTTGCTGCTGATTTGGGTTGTGAGGGGTCAGGGTGGGCTCACCCAGGCTCGGGGTGGTTTGTCTGTGTCCTCAGAGTGCTCTTGAACACTCAGAATGTTCCTGCTTCAGCCACTGGAGCCCTGGCCGTGGGGTGGCTGTCACAAAACGGCTCTCGAGTGTTTCTCCTGCCCATCTAAACCTGCATTTCTATGAAAGATGGCAGCAGAATTAATCACCTCATTTCTGGTAAAATGTGCTCTGGAGGGGGAGTTTGAGAGGACGGTGGCAGCTAAACACAACAGGAAATGTGCAGGAATTTAGCACCAACAGAGGTGCTATTTGTGCCTTCAAAAACTCAAAATTCCTTGTGTAGAAAACCAGGAAGAAGATCTGGGGACTTTCTGTTCCATTCTGTCAGCTGAAGTGTATTTTTCAGAGCTGTGTGGATTTACAGGAGTTTTCTGAGCAGGTTCCTGTGTCCTTCCTGGGCTTGGTTCTGGTTACAGCTGTGTCTTTGAGCTGTTTCTCTGCCAGGCAGCAGCAGCAGCAGAGCTGCCCACGAGCTCTGCCGGCACCATCCCTGCCTGCTCCTGCTGCAGCAATGCTCACTTGGCAGTACAAAAAATCAGGTTTCGTCTTCTAATAATTATTAAACCAGATGTCTTTAAAAGGCAGCTACCAAGCTCAGATTTAGAAGCAATTTTAAACATTTCCAAGTAACTTTTATTCAGTTTTTTTTCTTGTAAATGGTTATGGCCAATTCTTCCCTTTCCCTAAAAGCAGCTCAGCCCCCTGTGGTTGTAAAAATCTCTTGCTCAGGTAGAAAAAATACAGTTTAATCACTTCAGAATGACTCCCCATCAATATCCACATCAGGTGTTGGAAAGCTTCAGGAGATGGGAAACAAACACAAAAGCTGTGTAAAAATGAGGCAGAACAAACCAAGGGAGACCCACATGTCTGAGTGACTGAACAAGCTCCATTTTGTTCCCTTCTCCTCGCTGAAGGTGATATCCTTGTGTTACCCTGGCATTTGTCCTGTTTGTGCCGGGTAAATGCACTGGCAAACAGCACTTGCTCAGCTGCTGTGGTCACTGCTGCAGGTGCTCAGAGGGAAGCCCAGTGGAGGCCCAGTGCAGGGCAGGTTTTTTAACCTGCAAATGGCTCTTTAAGGGATACACCTACTGCAACACCTCCTTTGTTTCCCATCCCCGATCCTCATCCCGAGGCTCTCCACCATCATCCCTGACTGTGAGGGCTGTGTCATCAAACCTGTCCCTTACCTGCCCTGCCAGCCCCTCCTGAGCAGCTGCTCCCTCCATCCCAGCACTGCAGGGATGGGACTCAGCCCACCCAGTCCCACAGCAGCGATGGCACTGCAGCTCTGGGAGCTGCCCAACACTTCCAGTGCATCCTCCTGCTGCTGTGCTGGGGCACAACTGTTCCAGGTCTGCTCTGTGTGCCCAGGAGCAGCCTGTGTTCCCCTGGGACCAGCACCTTGGGATGTTACTGTTGGTCTCTGGTCAGGTGCTGTAAATCCAGTTGCACCAAACAATTTGGTGAAGTGGAAAGGTTTGAATCTCAGTTCTGGTGCTGCTGGAAGTTGTGAGACTGTCGTGCTCAGTGCTGAACCGCAGCCTGGAGCAGTGTGGAGGCAGGAAGGCTGTTTTCTCTGCCTTAGTGGCAGACATGGACTAGTGAATGAAGCAGAAAATGAGTGGTTCTCAGCTCAGGGTCAGAAACAGCTTCTGTCCTTAGGGGATCTCCTCCTGCTGCTGGAGCTGCAGGTGTAGAAGCAGCTGTAGGTCAAGAAGATTTTGTTGCTTGGCTGAGTGCAGCCAAGGTGGGGGGGCTGACTGGAAGTGGGGCAGTGCTGGGCATGAGCAGCCCTGGGGCCAACTCCCATCAGGGCTATTCCCATGAGGCCCTGGAAGCTGGAACAGGAGCACCAGTGGTTGTGTAGCTCTGCCAGCAGTCACCAGGCAGTAATAAATATGGGTTGAGTGCCAGCCAGCGTGGCAGTGTCAGACCCATGGCTGTGGATTTGTGAGCTTCCCTCAGGGCACAGGAGTGTGGGCTCAGCACCTGCCACCTGGCCTGGGCTCCTTCTGTTGGTATTGCAGCATTTTACAAATGCATCTCACATCCTCCTTGAGGCTGAGCTGTCTCAGCCATGAGCAACTTTTCCAAGTGATGTCACCATGGGAAAGAAGCAACAAATGGTCTTGCTGAACTTTACTGTGGTACCTGCCACTGTCTCATCCCTCTGCTCCTGGTTTCATGTTCCAAAGTAACTGATCACTAACAACCACCTACTCACCTCTCCCCCTCCTCTCCCATTTACCTTCAGGTACACTGTACTCTTAAAAAAAAAATAGGGAAAACATCATATTGATGTTTCTCTGGGTAGAACTGTGGTCAGTTGTGTCCTGGGCCAGGACTCGTCCCCACCCCACTGCTCTGTCAGTTCCCTTTTCTCTGGCTGAGCTGGATCTTTGGAGCAGGATAACTTTGTTTTCCTTCAAGCAGGGAGCAGTACTGTATGTTTTTAGCAGGCTGTGTGTGTGGTGCACAGTCACTGGCAAGAACCAGGAAGCTTCCTAATGGCACTGTGCAATGAATGTTTGCTTCCTGGGAGAAATGGGAGTGGGATTCAGCAGAATCCACACCAGCTGGAGCTCTGGAGCTCTGTATGCTGGTATGGACTGAAAGCACAACTTTATGCATAAAGTCTGTAATATGAACATAAAATAATAAATAATTTACCATTTTTCCCCTGAATTTAGCTCTGAAGGACACGCTGAGCTGTTCTCAGGGCCCCACTGCCTCCCCTGCAGAGCAGTTCCTCTGCAAAGCAGTTCCTCTGTGCAGAGCCAGCTCACTCACCCAAGGGTTTAATTAGGAGGTGAAGGAGGCACCGCTGACCTTGTTTATTGAGCCAGAATTAATTAACTCAGAAGGGTCATGTTTTCATTCAGTGACTCCTGTGGTACAGATTTTTGAAGTTGATCCATAGTACTTGAAAATACCTCAATTTTATTGATATTTGTCCAATTCTATCAGCTTCTGCTCGGTTACAGAACACTTGCAAAAATCAGCTCGTTCTGAAGGGATCAATGACAGCATTTGCATGGTAGAGTGGCTGCTTTCAGTGCCAGCAATGGGCTGTCAAACAGCTCGGCAGGGCAGCCCCCCCGGGCTCTTCCCGCTTAATGCTGCATTTCCTGCCCTGCTCATTAGCGCTGAGCTCGCACCCACCGCTGCAGCCTCCGAGTCTTGTCCTCGTTCCGTCTCCCCTTGAGAGTTCTCTCTTCCTCCTGAACATATAGTTAAGATATTTTCAGCTGTGAGCTGCTTGTGCTGGTTTTTGGATACTGTGAAGGTGAGTAGGTGTCATTTTATGCAGTTGTGCCTGTATTTTATTTGTAGTTAATCTGTTTGTCAGGTATCAGTTTGTGATTCTAATCATCAGGCCCAGCTGGCTTTGCTTAGAGCAGCAGGATCCCACTTCCTGCATTTTCTCTTTCCTAAAAACCTCATTTCTTCATTCTTTCACTTTAGTTTGGGATGTAAACCTTGTGAAATAAAATCTGAGTTTACATTTCAAATACAAGTCTGTAAGTTGGTCATGCCTGCATGCTCCTTAAAAAAATTATTTTTTTCTGTATAAGGTTTTAAGATCTACAGCAGCATTTGTAAAGCTTTAGTGGGTAACAGACAATGTTAAAAAAGTGTATGCTGGGGGGGGAAAAGAGCAGCCAAAAAAAAACCAACAAAAAGGACCAAGGGATCATCTTTGTTTCTTCTTTTGGCTGTGTTTGAAAAGAAATGCCTGCTTGCATCAACCAGCTCATGGAGCAGGCAGGGATTTCACCTGAAGGCATCCCTGCTGTGTCAGTACTTCCTCAAGTACCTAATTTCTTGAGTTCAACATTGGACTAAATCCCGTGGAACCAACAAAATTGTTCTCCCCATCTCCTTCCTGACCTGGAGAAGGTGTGTGCTGCCCCTTCTCAGATCAGCACTTTCCTTTGTAAGAGAAATAAAAATCCAGTGGATTCTTGACAAGGTCAGTGTATTATTTTTTCCCCCCTGCCTTTTTCTGGAGAATCCAGGAGCCTCCTGGATGTGTCTGAGAGAGAAATCCCTCGGCACCTGGGATCCCAAAGGATGAGTTTTGTGACTAAGAACTTGTGTGAGGAGGTGGAACCTGTTGTTCTGAACTAACTCCATGTGTGGTCATTCTTCCTCAGAATTAATGAAGTAGCTTCCTGCTCTACTCACTGCCCATCTAAGCAGGAGCTACTCCAGAGTGAATCCAAATCCACTGTTGGAGCAGGGAACTTGTAACAGCTTCCCTTTTGCTTAGGAACATAGGAAATAGAAAAGGTCTTGTTATGTTATAAATTATAATCTGATCAGATGGCTGATCTTCATCTGAAAATGATGTTTATTGTGCAAATGGGTCCCTGAAAGATGAAACTTAATTTAAACCTCAGGATCAGACCATGGCAGCCCTGTCTGCATGTGCTGTTCAATGTTAGCAGGAGTTTTTACTTTGCCTCACAGGAAAGCCAGTGGGTTTCACTTGCTGGAGTTTTTCCAGGCAGGAAAATGGGGCTGAACAGCCACTGCAGGAGCTGCTGTGTGTTGGGAGCTCCCAACACCCTCCCTCTGCACCAGGGTCAGGGCTCCCACCACTGGAACCCCCT